CTAGCCTGAAACAATTGTCATATCATTACTAAATCTGATGATTATTTTCACTGTTTTTGGCCTAAATGTCAATACAAGGCATTTAAGAAAGATCATTTAACTAAACATAAATTAATTCATGCAGAATTCCTGATATTTAAATGTGATTTTAATAATTGTAATAAAAGTTATAAACAGAAACGATATTTAATTGATCACAAAAATATATTTCATTTAAATCGTGGAAAAGAAATGCAATGTTTTTGGCCTAAATGTGAATATAAAACTTTAAGTAATCTTTGTTTTAAAACACATTTATTAAAACATTCAGAAATAAAACAATTTAAATGTGATTTTAATAATTGTAATAAAAGTTATAAACAAAAATCGCATTTAACTCATCACAAAAATAGCGTTCATTTAAATGTGAGATTTATTTGTGATTTCAATGAATGCCACAAAAGCTATAAATGTAAATATGATCTCAAAGAACATATAGATAAAATACATAATATTCAATAAATATAACTAATATTTGATAAGTTTATAAAAATATAAAGTACTGAAATGTTTTCGAAAATTTACCACATATTAATTTTTGCTAATTTTTCTAAATAAATATTTTATTATCTATTAAAACACAAACTTATTGTTTTGTAGTTATAATTGTATTTCAATTTATATATTTAAGCGAATATTAATAAATGTCAAGATTATGTTTATTTTAAATAACTTTTACATTTTATTGATTTTTAATAATTAGTATTTTGGTTTAATTAAATAATAATAAATAATTATAAAATATAAATCATTGAAAATTCATTTAAAATGTTAAAAATAGATGTAAAGACAATTGTTTCAGGCTAGTTGACACATGTTTGACAAAAAGGGAGTTCGATAAAACAAAAATAAAATTTATTGAATTTATTAGTATGGCATAAACTTACAATTAAGATCAAGGGCATTTGGACACATAGTAGAATCATAATTTAAACAGAATATACAATATTATTGTTGCTATAGAAATGGGTAGGGAATAGATTGTATGCATAATAACATTATTGTATTGTCCAGTAGTTTATAATAATTATAATTATTGTTTAGTTAACGGTTTTTAATTCATAGACATCTGGACAACACATTGAGAGCACAATTATTACTACAAATAATACTGCATTTGAGACAACATTTTTAGTGTTTTTGTAAATACTTTCAATTGGAGAGCAATGACTGAATGAATTACTTTGGAAAGGGGGAGAATATGTCATTATGAACAAGGTCATTATCATAAAGAAGTCACAATATAAATTAGATTCGTTTTGTTGTCATAGAAATTGGAGGGAAAATATAGACATAGGTAGGAAACAAAGAGCGGTTAACTAAATATAATCATTGATTTACTAACGGTTTTGTTTGGGAACAGATTGTGAAGAATACAAATGATTACTACAAATAACACTGTATTTGAGACAACATTTCCAGAGTTGGAGTCAAACCAAACACATCTTAAAAGTGAAATTATTAAAAAGTAGTTCAGATTAAAATGGGTTTTAAGTTTATTTTGTGTTTTATTAAAAGTTTTCAATAAATCTGTTTAAAAATGAGTGTTTCTTTGATTGAAATGAAGAGTAAATTAAATGCAATGAAGAGTTTGTGTGAAATAATAGACAAAATTCAGTGTATTTTGAATACAAATAATAGTGTTTTGTGTGAAGCGATTGAATGCGAAAATAATGATTATTTTTCAATCAATCAAACAATTGATTGCAATTCATGTAAAATCAGTGATAAAATGNGAAAATAATGATTATTTTTCAATCAATCAAACAATTGATTGCAATTCATGTAAAATCATATATATATGTAATATCATTACTAAATCTGATGATTATTTCCACTGTTTTTGGCCTAAATGTCAATTCAAGACACCGAAGAAGAATAATTTAATACCACATCAATTAATTCATTCAGAAATAAAACAATTTAAATGTGATTTTAATAATTGTAATAAAATCTATAAACATAAAAAACATTTAACTGGACATCAAAATATGTTTCATTTGAATCGTTATGAAACCATTTATTGTTTTTGGCCTAAATGTCAATACAAAACGTTTAGTAAATCTAATTATGAAACTCATTTATTAAAACATTCAGAAACTAAAGCATTTAAATGTGATTTTAATAATTGTAATAAAAGTTATAAACAAAGTGGACATTTACTTATACACAAAAATACTGTTCATTCAAACGTGAGATTTAATTGTGATTTCAATGAATGCCACAAAACTTTTATATCAAAGGAATATTTATTACGGCATAAAAATTATGTTCATTTAAAATCAGACAAAGTTTTTCACTGTTTTTGGCCAAAATGTGATTATAAAACAAATCATAAACAGTCGTTAACTGGACACCAATTAATTCATTCAGAATCAAAACAATTTAAATGTGATTTTAATAATTGTAATCAAAGTTTTAAAAGGAAATCCAATTTACGGGAACACAAAAGTAGCGTTCATTTTAATAGTGATTGTGTTTGTGATTTCAATGAATGCCAAAAAGTGTTTAAATCAAAACGATATTTAACTGAACACAAACTTCGTGTCCATTCAAACAATCAAAAATATTTTCACTGTTTTTATCCTAATTGTGAATACAATACAAAAAATAAACGTTATCTTATGGCACATCATTTAACTCATTCACAAATAAAACAATTTAATTGTACATTTAATAATTGTAATAAAAGTTATAAATCTAAAAGCGATCTTCAGAAACATATAAATAGTATTCATTTAAATGTGAGATTTATTTGTGATTTGAATGAATGCCACAAAAGTTTTACCCGAAAATCACAGTTAAATCGACACAAAACTTGTTTTCATTTAAATAATGTTAACCACATTTAAATTATATAAATTAAAAATTTTTATTTCAAATTACTTAAATTTAGTTCCAATAATATACTTAAATCTGATATTATATTTTAAATAATACTTTAAATAAAGTATAAATAAAATTAATAAATACTGTACTATTTAATTGTATATAAAATATCAAAATAAAATGATTGTATTCTTTTATAATTAAATATTTTACATTAATGATTCATTAATAATAAATAAGTATATTGCGAGTGTTTACAGGGCCACAGGGGGTCGGGTGCCCGGCCATCGATGAGCCAGTATTTGTCGTATAAATAATGTTATTAAATAATCAGTGTTTGAAATGAGTATATTTAATAAAAACTACATAAAATACGGCCTAATATTAAAGCCAATATCAGTTAAGGGATGGCCTGTCAGGTCTCGGGCACCGGTAGTCGAGTGGCGGACATAAGCGCTCTGTAAGCCAGAGGGACCGGCAGTAAAGCCGGTGCCGCTGTTATACTCAGCCATTTGATGGCCAATCGCAGTGTATTGTTGGCTAAACTCTTAAACAAAACCATACGGTTTAATGTGATGGTGACTGAAGGCTAGGCCCGGGGTTTGAGTGCAGCGACGGCGCCGACACACATGCTATAAATGACTGATTAGTATAAATGACTGCATTATTACTAGTGATTTGGGTATAAAAATACGGTCAGGGAGTTGACTGCGGGTGTTGTGGTCTACAACTCGCGCCAGAAATGTCACCATTAGTTGCGGTACTACTTGTGTCCGCCGGCGGTGCCGGACAGTCGGTGGGCCCGCCGTTGGGGTGAAAGCGCTTTTTATGTGTCTCCACTCCGGTGTCGGTGCGAAACCGTTTGCCACACAAATCGCACGGTTTGTCCCTCAGGTCCCGGTGTCTGACTGTAGAGTTGGTTCGGTCGCGGAGTGCGCGGCGCCGTCACTTGCGGGCGCTTTTCGACAGCACAGTTGGGTCGAGACAACCGGTGGCCGAGTAGTGACTGTCGGGGCTGTTATGAGCGGCCATTTCGTGGACAGTAGGCGTGTAGTGTTGGCCAACGACTTGAGTTAACTCTATTCCATCGCGTGTTTGATATAGTGTTGACTCAACACTAGCTCCACGGGTCGGGTCATGTGGTAGAGCTCCGGGCGCTGGTGTTTGACTAGTGTTTGCGTTATTACTACTATTGGTTTTGGGTATAAAAGTACGAATTAATTACTGTTTTAAATGAGTATTTCTAATGAAAATTACTTAAAACACTGCATAATAACAGAGTCGGTGTCCGGCAATGGCTGACCACTGACTATTGGCGCCGAGTTTGTACCGTCCGGTGCTTTACCGGCGCTGTACTCATGGGTTAGTATCACGTCCTCGACATCGGAGCCCAAATCACTAGACATTCATTGAAATAACACATAAAATACATCAATAATTAATGTCTTAAACACCGAAACAAAACACATACTGTTTGTTGTCCACCGATCGGGTGTCAGGACTGATAGCACCGGTCATAGGACTGGCCGTTGACTGCTGTCCACCGGCAATGACACCATCGGAGCCGCTGGCGATCGGTTCCCGAGTGATAACCTCTTTATGGTTATCGATGGCATGTCTGCGGACTTTGTGTGCATTCAATCGGCTTTGAGTTGTGAAACTTTTTTCGCATTCATTGTAATCGCATTTATATGGCTTTCGGTGGACGACAAACGACTCGACAATTGACTCATAAGTCAATGAATGACTGAAAAGACACAACAGTTGTGACAATTGAACGCATGGTTTGTCACAATCCATACAAACCTATCACTCGATGACATCCACAACAATATGAAGACAACACTCACGAAGACATCACTACTTGTGTCCACACAAACGCAACGATCAATAAATGATTGATAAATACATTGAAAATATTGTCTTTTGTTTACTAATCAATTTGCGCTCAATATTTTGTTTTATCGCATAAATTACGGCTCATTATTAATACTGTATTTTGAAACCCCTTTCAACGCAAACGTATATCAAATGCATTACGTTTTTAGTTAACAATATATGACGTTATTTATAGTCAACACAGAATATACAGTCGACTTTAGATAATAGTAAACATGTTTAGTAAATCGAAATATTAATTAATTTTTTAATGAATTTAATTTTTACCTTCATGGCAACTATATTATTACATTTTATTGTTTCTGTTGGTCAACCGCGGTATAAGTGCAGTGAAAACATAATTCAATTACAAAACTAATTAAGCAATTAATGTAACAAATATTTTCATTTTAAAATCATGTGAATATTATTTTATTTTTATTAAATACTAAATTAATAAAAAATAATTTACAAATGAATATATTTATATTTTTATCTTGTTCAGATGTTTATAACAATATTGATGGTTTAAATTTATATAGATTTTAAATTTAACTAATAACACTATAGAAATCTACATGATTCATTTTTAAATGCTTATTTAATGATCCTGCTTACTTAATGATGTCTAGTAGTGTATAATTTGTAACAATGTTTTATATTACAGATAAATGGCTTTTTATTTAAATGTCGATAATTCACATGAGCTGTCAATTCACGATTAGTGGCAAAACATTTGTCGCAATCACTTGAAAAGCATTTAAAATTACGGATATTTGTGTGAAGTCTTCTCTTGTGATTACATAAATCCGATGAACCGTTAAATGTTTTGTTACAATCACTAAAATCACAAACAAATGATTTTTCTCATTTGAAATGTATATTAAATAAATGTTGTGTTAATTCCTATTTCTTGACAAACCGTTGATTACAGTTATTATGAATACATTTATAACTTTTTATATTATTATGTCTTTTCATATGTTCTGTTAAATCAGATTTTATACGAAAAGTTTTGTTACAATCATTAAAATGACAACCAAATGGTTTTTCTCCCGAATGTATGGTTTTGTGTACATTTAAATGTTGTTTTATTTTAAAAATTTTGCCACAGTTTTTTTCATTACATTTGAATTTTCTTTCATTCAAATGAACACAACTTTTGTGTCGAAATAAATGTGATTTTTGTCGGAAACTTTTGTAACATTCATTGAAATCACAAATAAATTTTACGTTTGAATGATATCTTTGTTTATGACAATATAATTGTGAAAATTGAATATAACTTTTATTACAATTATTAAAATCACATTTAAATTGTTTTATTGATGAATGAATTAATTGGTGTCGAGTTAACATTTGTTTAGTTGTTGTTTTAAATTGACATTTAGGCCAAAAACAGAGAAAATAATCATCAGATTTAGTAATGATATG